AAATGAGGACAAATGCTAATTGTCACAAGCAAATAAGAACAAATGGTTAATAAAAACCTTCACATAGGGATGGAAGGATCTGTCAATTTTGGTTCTCTCCATTTCTCATGTTTCCAGTCTTAAATTCAGTTCTTCACATTTCAGCAGCCATTTGTAATTCATTTTTTTAAAAGAAAATCCTCATGAAAATTCACCAGCATTTTAGTGCACATTTCTCCTAAGTGTCCTGACTCCCATTCGTGATTGCACCACCACCATCATTACTATTATTATTAATTAGTTGGACTATTGGCTGGATTATTGCCAAAATCATTATTCCAGAAGTCACTAATTTGCCCAAACATAGGTTACAATGTATGCAATCAGCAGTTATGTCAGAGCTCCAAGATACAAGGTACAAGCCCAGACATTATCCTAACAGCTGACATGCCCCCTGAACTCTCCTTCTGAAGACCAGGACAGTCAAAGTCATTTGTGCAGTTGGTGTCCCGAGCTTTGGACTGGGCAATCAAGCCCAGTGAGAAAGCTGGATTTGCTTGCACTGGCACAGCCAGCATTGCACCCTTGGAGACAAGGGTAGATAGAGTTGATATGGCTGGCTCACTGTCCAGTCTCACCTGAGATAACTCCCTAGAGGTGGGGGATGCATCAATAATGGGAAGTGGTGGTGAAGTAATGTCGGGAAGATTCTCCTCTGTGCTTGGGATATCCAACAGTACTGAGGAGAGACTTCCTCCTGACAACCCGCTCAGCATCATTTTATACACCTCTATCAAACCCACACACCCAACTTGTCTTTACTCTAGTCCCAAATGCTTCAACACTTACTCATTTGGGTTTCCCCTTTTCTATACCTTTTCCAACTCTACAATATCATTTTGGAGGTGAAGCAATTAGAACTGTATGCAGAGAAAAGAGCTCATGTGGTGGTTCAATGAAGAAACATAGGAATGGGGAGCAAGATTCAATGGATCAAGGCAATTTTAAAGGATTTTTTGTGATTTCCCCCCTCTCTTGTGCAGCACCCCGCCACCATTATTCTGGAGGATTCCCAAAGATGTGAAGCTCACATCTGTCGTCATTCCATTGCATCAGTGGAGGGACAGCAATTGGCTACAACTCTCTGTCTTTTTTTCTGGTTTTTAAAAATATGCTTTTTTTGTTTTGTGCTTTAAAATATTCAATTCTAAAAAAACAAACAAAAACAGTTATATTAGCTGTGTCAGATACTTTATTTAGAAGTGGAAGGGCGGTTACATATCCTGAGAAAATAAGTGCAATTCAACAGTAGATACTTTTAAAATATTAAACAATATTTAAACAAACCCCTTAGGAATTCTGTGTTACTCTGTATCTAAAACAATGAGGAGATGGAGTTCAATTTGAGATTGAAGAGTAAGAATGCATGTTTTTGTTGTTGTAAATATTATGTTAGATAATCTTCATCTACAAAACTGGAATGGACTTTTAATGTTTTATCTTTAGAGCACAAAATGTTTCTTTTGAGTTTGGTGAAATTGTCTCAGGTCAAGTATTTTACAATGTTTTGAACTGGGTTTTCTTACCCATTGTTTAGAGATGAAAAGGGTGGAAAATAAACAAACTCCAAGAAATAACATTGTTCCTCATTCTTCCACTTTCTTACTCATCACAGTGAAAACAGTTATTATACTACCTTTTAACTGTTTACAGTTTTCTTGATTTTTATAAAAAATCGGTAATGTTTACTTTTGACTTCTTTGAGTTATCTAATTCGGTGAAGCTCAGAATCTGTTAAAAAGAAAAAAGAAAAAAACAGGAAATTTTAAAACTTCTTATATAAGAAGCATGATCTAAAATACAAAATATGTATGAATTTCAAATATTTGGGACTGACATATTTTTTAAAAAAATCTAAATACTCATCTCCATACCAAATAGTTTGACAGTATACATTGATACAGTATACATTGATACAGTATACATTGATGTATACATTGTATACACTTTTCTTTACTTAAACTCTTTTTTGTGTTGCCTTAAAACATGGGTTATTTTGTCATTCTAATTCTTTAGCACCATTTCCATGCAAAGCAGCAAATGGATTCTCAATAAAATATAGAGGCTACTATGAAGGAAGGCTTCTATGGGTGAAGTCTGGCTTCGCTCAGGTCTGCCTCCAACTTATTTAAACCGGCTGCACTTGCATTCAGCAGCAGGGTCCCACCTGCCCCACCCTGTATGTTTTGGCCCTGCCTGAAGGTAAGCAGGCACTGTATGCACGTGACCTTGCTGTGGAGTTACTTAGTCACTGTATTCGGGGCCAGGGAAGAATCTGCCTGCATGCAAATTGGGCTGTCTGGGAGATTTGCCTTCCACATTATAGCAACTGTCACAACTTTCTAGTGGGAAAAAAGGCATTGAGTTGGGAAGGAGCCCTACCCCACTACTGATAATCAAAGTATCAGGGCACCCCAGTAAAGCGGTCCAAGGGGAAGGTGTCTGTCTGAATGCCCAGAAAGGTGCTAATGAGCCATAGAACTCCCCAAATGGCATACTGGAGGGATTGCCCCATTATTATTATTATTATTATTATTATTATTTTATATATATATTATTATTATTATTATTAGAATTTATATACTGCCCTATACCCAGAGGTCTCAGGCCAGTTCACAAAAAAAGATCAACATAAAACCCACAATATATATAATCAAAATAAAAACAACAACCTAATAACCCCCACCACCAAAGAGCCACATTTTAAAAGGGCATATTTGATGTGTGTAATGGAGGGATCCATAACCCAGGATTGACCCTGATGAAATATCCAGCCAGCAATCGGACTGGTTGATGCAGGATGCATACCCAATGCCTATGCCAAAGCCTACTGACATCTGTAATCAATAAAGTTGCGGACATTTCAATCGCCAAGGTGCGGTCTCATCATTTTTTTACTGCTTCCTGCATCTCAGGTCCAGCAACCTTAGGCTCACTGCGCCTGGGTCTCCAATGCCATGTTCATGCTAATGAAGGAAAAGGCAAGCAAAATTAAGTTTCTTCTATCTAGAATACACAGCTTGTACCTATGTTAATATCTCAGTGTGGAGCATTATTTTCACACGGAAAGAATTCTGTTATACGTTTCACTGTGAGGACAGCTCCATTGTAGCTGCCTATGGTGGCCATGTGTCCCACTTTATAGATGGCAGTCCTCTATTTGAAGAGATCCTCTATTTGAAGGGCTGTTTGGTACAAGTCTGGCTTAAAGATAAAGACGCGCAAGAAAGCCCTGAAGCTACCCATTAACATCTGTGTAGATAGATTAGCATATGCAAACCTGTAGTTTCTATTTTGGTGAGGTGATACATTTCCTCTTTTTCTTTTTGATGATGCAGAAGTGGGAGCAAACATGCACAGTTTGTACTGACACAAGTGTCTGGCATTCAGGATACATTAGGCTCCCTGAATCAGACCGGTACACAAAGTGAGTAATGTGTGAGAGAGGTGGAGCCACCATTCTTTCCCCTCCCCTCTGCCTCATGGGAAAGTTTGATTATGATGATGCATGCGAGACAGAAGATCCAGTGCGCAGCGCTGCTATTCATCAAACACTGGGACACAATCAAGTTGTCCAACTATGGTACATAAGCATTTGAATGGTTAGTACAATTTCCCTTCTGTAACATTGCCCCACCCCATCCCCATTCATACATTTTCCTGACATGAGTCCAGCTTTATTGAAAATAAGCCCATTAAAACAGATCTGGAAGGCTATAAACAGACAATAGGTATTGAGTTCACCACTACGGCGGCCAAAGGGAGCTGCTTCAGGGTGAGCTGAAAGCAGAGGCTGTAGTGAGTTCAAATTCTCCCATACGTGGACTTCCATTCTTTCCCTTTTCAAGGGAAAGGGTCACAGTGGTAAAGGGCATGCTTTGCACAAAACAGGTCCCAGGTTCCATCCATCGCATCTGAAATTAAAAGCATTTGGTAGCAGCGACTCTGAAGAGCTGCTGCCATTTGGACAAGATGGACAGACAGTTTGACCTGGTATGAAGGCACTTTCTTATGTAACAGAAAAGTTTGGTGTTGTTGGTATGCTTCCGTCCTCTGACATTAGTAGGGTTGCAGCAATTTACCCCGAACCTAAATTTGGCCCTAAATCTTTAATGCCCTGGGGAGCCCCATATCAAATTTGGCCCAGTTCATGCGACATCTGCATCCTGCTTCAGTGTGGCACACCATATTTACTGCACATCATATCACACCTGCTGACACTGTCATAGCCAATTGACATTTATAAAAAAAAAAAATCTTGTAGCTGCATATCGTCAAGAAAAACAACATTGTTTTAGGACCTCTTATCTCTTAGCTCCCAAATATCCTGTTTCTTCAAACTGCAGTAGCCAGGACCAATAGAAACCTCTTCCTGCCACTGGCTGACTTCATTTCCCAGAGTTAGCACAATCTCATCCGCTCTAAATAACTTCATCAAAACTCCTTTCTGGTCAGAGTGAAGCAATAATTATTATTGGTAATTATTAGCGATCAATAACCTAGATCACATTATGGCGAGTACTATTAAGGTAAGAAAGTGAATGCCTTTTTATTAGACTTTTTCAGAATTGTTTTTTTTTTAATTTCCTTTCTAAACACCAGTAAGGTAGAATTGGGCAACACCCCCGCAGCCACAATAGAGGACAAGTAGATTTCCTTTGTACTGCCTAGTAAATTTCCTTTTTCCTACTCCCTGTCCACAAGCCTTAAAAACTTGAAACTCAGAAAAACTTGGGTGTTTTTTTTAAATTCACCATTCCGTGCTCTGGATTATACTTGCAAGCCCTATTGTGGGAAGAGCTTCTGAATTTTCTTGTTGTCTTCGTTTTTAAAACAAATTTTGGATATGCATCTGATTTGGACCTTGGACTGCTGTAAGGGGATGGGGGAGTAATTGATGAGAAATTAAGTGATATGTTTTCAGGTGCTTTTAAACATTTCCTTTATTTATATGGAAGCAAACATATTTAAATAGAAATTTAAATTTTGCTCCCGTTTGGGTATTGTTGATTTTGTTTTATAGACATCTAATATTCAGCAGCTTTGTCAAATGTCACTGAAATAATGATAGCAATTTAGTTAACTTTTTAGAATGCCTTTTTGGTTGTTGTTGTTTTTAATTTGAAGGTAATAAAAATTTGTCGAGGTTTATGACTTCAGCCTGAGCATTATTCTTAGCTACTTTAGAACAAACTGTGCAAGGTGACAGTTTTGTGGAGGTTTCAATTATTTTGTTGTACATATAAATAAGCAGTTTGTGCTTCTGTAGTAAGAAGTTTTGTAGCTCATACTACATATTTGACAATAAGCTAATTGCGGAAGAAACAAGCCTTGTGTAATTAACAGCCTGATGACAATGATATAGGATTTATATTGATGAACTCTCTTTATATGCCTACATATAGAGATCCACTATTTCATTCACAGCATTAACTTTCTTTATACTTTTCTGAGGCTTTACATAATATATTAGCAACCAAACCAGAATAAACAGCACAATCCTAACCATGCCTACACACTCCTTCTGAATTCAATGGAGTTTTACTCCCAGGTAAGTGGGGCTAGGGCTACAGCTTTAGTAATTTAAACTGGTGTTTGGTTTCACAATAATGACTCTTTTACTTGATTTGTTATTAATTATTAAATGTTTTGTATCCCCAAGTACTGAAAATACTTTCATGGAGATAATATTAATTGTGGGGTTTGAAAACGCTCTTCTCTCTTTTCTAGTCAGGCATGTTTTTATGATTCTGCATAGAGATCAAAATTCAAATTTGCTTTGCATTGATGCATTGAAAATTAAATGTGAAGAACCCATATAGCAAAAGATGAAAAATTCAACTATATCAACCTTGTTGTGAGCATCAAGCTTGAAATGAAGATCTTAAGTCTTTTAGGATTAGATTTACAGATGCATAGTTTGATCATGTCAAGACAAACAACTAGCTACAGATGGGATCTTTGATTGGGTCAACTTGTTTAAACTAAAAATAGCTTGTCAAGTCTGTTTACTGTCTCTACATTGTTGTTGCTTTAAAAAAAACAACCACAATACACTAGTGAGTATTGTGTTTAAAGTTGATGACATACTTACATGTCTTTTGGCATTCAATTTGCTCTCGCTAGCCCCTGTTATAGGACCAAACATGTTAACAATTAATCTAACAGTGCAGTTGGCATTTTATTAGTCAGTACTTCTGCAAGTGTACTGTCACATTGTTCCCTTTCTTTCTTTCACAGAACTTTGGAGTTTGATACCTTAGAGAGGAAAAATTCTTAATTCCTCAGTAAACATTTTATTTACAGCTGAAATTGCATATAAAATTACACACATTTGTGTGTTTTGGTTTTACTGATGGTGATGGGACTATGAGGAGAATTAAATGTATTTATTTGGGTTCAAAATTAATCTGTACTGTAAAGGTAAAGGTAAAGGTACCCCTGCCTGTATGGGCCAGTCTTGCCAGACTCTAGGGTTGTGCGCTCATCTCACTCTATAGGCCGGAAGCCAGCGCTGTCCGCAGACACTTCCGGGTCACGTGGCCAGCGTGACAAGCTGCATCTGGCGAGCCAGCGCAGCACACGGAACGCCGTTTACCTTCCCGCTGGTAAGCGGTCCCTATTTATCTACTTTCACCCAGAGGTGCTTTCAAACTGCTAGGTTGGCAGGCGCTGGGACCAAACAACGGGAGCGCTCCCCGCCGTGGGGATTCGAACCGCCGACCATGCGATCGGCAAGTCCTAGGCGCTGAGGTTTAACCCACAGCGCCACCCGCGTCCCTAATCTGTACTGTAAGACGTATAATAAGCTATATTCTCAGTTTATAGGCATTGTTGTGTGGTTGTTGTTTTGCAAGATCACCTGATGATTGTTGCTTCTAAGAAAAGATGAGAATTCTAGTCCATTTGCATTTTAAAAATACAATTTGATCTGTGTCCCAAAAAGTATGGGTATCCCAATTAATACCACTGTGCAATTGGCCTCTATTTACACTAATCTTACCTCAAAAACAAAATCAGCGTGTGTCGTGGTATTGCTTAATAGGCATTTTAAAAAGCCCACTTCAGCACCTAATGCTCTATGTTGTCCTAGGTACTACAGTGCCAATATGACATAAAAATAATAAACATTGGCTTTATTAGTCAATATTGACATCAATTTATATAGGCATACAAGCACATACATCATGCTTTAAATATGTGCAACCAGACTTTGTCATATGCGCATAAAATAAATTAAGTGCTGAACCACGGATCCTGGAGTAGTTTCATCCATTTCCACCAGACTTTAGTGGGACTTTTTGCAAACAGTTTGCAAACGGCAGTCTTGCTAACATAATCACTACAGCCATAAAGCCTGGAGTGGGAGTCATATGTATTTTGTGTTTTTGAAGAATATTAACCCCAGTTGCTTCTGATAAGGGTGCAAATTGCTTTGTGGCAGATGATTATGAAATGATAATAGTTTTTTGGCGGGGATGTTTTGCCATAATTCAGTATGATGCATGGATTGCACCCCTATTCCATTTATTATATCTTATTCCCGTATCCTTATTTAGATCAACTGGGTGTTCTCATTGCCATCTTTACAAGCCAATTTAAAATGTTGGTACAAACGGGGGAGTTTTTGTCTGGTTATCAAACTGGGAAGCTTACAGGCCCTTTTGTTATTCTAACACTAATTGCAAGCAGAAGATTAGTATAGTGTACAGATGGCATATATAAACCCAGTGACTGTAGACACCTTGTAATCTGTAAAAGGAACAGAAAGTAATACACATCGAGCTTTCATTTTCATTTAGCATTGAAGTCAATATTGCTAGCTAATTAGAGTAAAAATAATTACCCTGATGTTTCTTTTTCCTTATTCAAAAATGGTGGGATAAAGGTTTTTTAAAAAAATAAATGCCTGCCTTCACCTGGATTTGTTTTCCATCAGCAGGCTGTGCTACCTTTCTTCCCTTGGCAGATGCATTTACAGTTTTGTAATAAAACATATTTTAATGAATACTGCATTTTCTGAAATGGCATACTGCATACACTTGTGGCTAGCTGTTTCAGTTTAAGCCACCCAGTCTACCTTGGACCATGTAAATAGCCAGCTTTTAATTGCTAGTTTCCTTTTTTGTGGTTAGTTAGGATGCTCTGCTATTTGAGATAAAATGTCTATGTAATTAGAATAGTAATGTTTGAGGTTTCAATAGTCGCTAGAGTTATCTAATTTGATTTCTGCATAATTCCTTTGCTGACAATATCAGTTTATGTAATTCAATCTCAATTACAATAGCAACATTTGTTTATTTCTAGTATAAAAAAGAATGTCCTTTATTTCTTAGATTATATAGCTAATTCAATTAAGGAAAATCGGCCCATTCAGTGAATGGAAAACATTTCTATGAGAAGGTAGGTTCGATTACAATGCAATAGAAGTCAGCAGTATGCAATTCTTTTGGTTTCTCATCCCTTATCTTTGCTAACATCATTGTAGACCGTTTGCATGAAAAGCGGAATAAAAGGTTTTCACTCCTTTGCTGTGTAGCTCATCAGATAGCTTATGCATATCCTTAACTCTCATCTGGTAAATGGCAGTCCAATTAAAATGCATGAACACAATGGAGAAATAGCTAGTAAAGCTTAAGTGTCATTGAAATATATGGGACTGAGGCACATGGTTAAGAGGCATGTCTTTTTAATGTTCTCTGTACTGTACCACTTGGTAAGGTCTTGGACACCCTGGAACTAATGAGCCTTTGTGATGCAAATAAGTATAATAAGAATTTTGTTTCATTTAGTTTAACAATTTGCTTTGACACTGTGGCAATCCATAGTATGGTCCTGAGTTCTTTTTTTAAAAAATGAGTATCAGGACCATAATTGTTTTTCGCTTAGAGATAAAAAAAAGCAATCAATAATCCACTTGAATCAGGGCCGGATTTAGGTTTGATGAGGCCCTAAGCTACTGAAGGTAATGGGGCCCTTTATATGTCCAGCTGTCCTTTGTCAACAACAAATTGTCACTGCTACAATTAAGAAGAAGTATATTAATAGTGAAATACAATTAAGAAGTAGTATATGAATAGTGAAATAATTATTAAGCTCTAACTTAAAAAAAAATCCTTTAAATTTTTGGGGGGCCCCCAAGAGAGTGGGGCCCTAAGCTATAGCTTGTTTAGCTTATACGTAAATCCTGCACTGCACTTTATGTATGTAGCAGGAATGAATTTTCTTTATAGCATACTAAATCTTAATTCTTTTTAAGGCACTCTTAGCCAGTGTTCCATAAGCACATGAGGTGAGGAAGTGGGGATGAATGCCCCAGCTCTAGATCGCTGTTCTCATTGCCTCTCCACTTTGGAAGGAGACTATGTGCAGCGGGGGGGGGGGGGTTGTATTGGACAAGGCACTCCACATTCCAAAAATCTGGGAAACCAGGGTCCCAGAACATGTAGTGAGCCTCCATGGACACAAAATGATCCCTGGTACAAAGGTCTGCATTCCACGACTTGGAAGGTGAGGAGGATAGGGATGGTGGGGAATAGAGGTTGCCTGCTCATCTCCACTTCTACACTCTTATCTTTGCTGAACACCCAATAACAAAGCCTAAGAGGGCTTATTCTTGATTAGACAAAGGATGAATTTGATCCAGATATTTGGCTTTCAGGCGAATGAGAGTCTCCAAGTACAGAGCAGACGATAAAAAATGCCTAGTGCTTGGTTTATTTTCCAATAGCGTCATATTTACACAGAATGCTGTTTAAGAGGTGTGTGAGATTCAATAAGATTTAGCAAACACAGGATTAAATTTACCAATCAGGGAAGAGACGTGGGCCTGAAAAGCAATGCAAGGGCTCTAAAAATGTTGAGGAAAATAATACTTCTAAAAAAAACTATAAACATCCCAATGTTGGATTGTACAAAACTACAATCCAATGTTGAATCTCTTACAAATAAACATGAATGATGAACAGAGTCAAGCAGATGAATCCAAACTCCCGATCTGGCATGCTGGAGGAAGATCGGATGGAACAGAGGAGAACTTCAGCCCTGCTTCCTCACTCTGGGTGGCTTTCCAGTAGCTAGACTGTGCGCATGTTGCAGACGTGCTGTTTTCTCTGTTAATAAACCAGACCTGAATTTTTAAGGGGGGGGGAATACATTTGTTTGTTTGTTTGTTTACTTGTAAAGATGGCATTTATTGTGCTCTCAAGAACCATTTTTAGAGCAAGTTTCTCCTTCTTTGCTACCTAGCTAGCTAATTTAACAAGTCTCCACCTGTACTAGATGACATTTTTATTATTTATTTCACAAAATTTATATACTTGGCTTGTAAAAATAAAAAAATCCTCAAAGCAATTTGCAACAGCAACAGCATATAACCAGCACAGCTTAAAAGAGACAACAAACTATTCCCACAACAGCCCCTAGAGTGCTGTGATGGTAGAAAACTACACACACCCCCGCCCCACCACTATTTAGTGTTTCATCTTGAGGTCAGCTCAGGTGAGTGACAAGTGGAAGGGTCTGTATTTGTTATAGAGACTTAACTAGAAC